TTGATACTGTGTATAACCCCCCTCAAACTCAAATAGGTGGAAAGATAGAAACCTATTTGAGGTTGAAACAAAGGGATTGAATAAGCTGACCGGTGTAGAAGACACTGTATGAGTGTGTATATAGGCTGCCAAAAGATATACATGGATATAGATATCGAGCCTCAAAAGTCGTGCCCTCAAAAGGTGTGCCCAATCTTTCAAAAAGGGTGCCATCAAAAGGCGCGCCCAATTTGTCGTCGAGCGCCGAGCAGCGCATGATGCGCGTGTCTGCCTTGGCTTGCGCGCCCGATTTGTCGTGGTCTTTATAAACCGAAGCGGAGGCTGAGGCTGAGGCAGAAAACCCGCAAAAAAAAAATCTGAAAAAAAAAACTCTCCGTTTTGCTGAGAGAGATAGTTCCTTTTGCTGAGAGAGATAGTCTGTAACACTCTGTTGCTCAGAAAATGGCCTCGTCTTCCGTGGACTGCTCACCTCTTTCCCGACCTCAACGAGTCAACAAGAGAGATAACTGGTGCGGTGGCACTGGAACCTCAACCAAGCGCCCCGAGTTTGCTCCGTTGAACTTTCCGATGCGGTCTGTGGAGCAAAGAATGGCAGTGCAGTCGGATGTGGAGGCCAAATCAGTATACTTTGAAGTCATGTGTGGAAACCATGACCGCGGTCACAAACTTGTCGCACCAGCTGCAGAGTAGGACAAATGAGGTGCAGCAGTTAAACGCCCAACTGGCTCTGCTCCAACGCATGTATAAGGATGCGCGAGCAGAGATAAGTGTGCTAAAGGCGGAAAAATGAAAACAAGGAGCTGAAGCGGAAGGCCACCGTGATGTTCCGATTTGGAGGGCCGCCATATGCTGCAGTGGAGGAGCAGGGAGTAGTGATCATGCCCAGTGGAGTGGGAAACACGGAGGCAACACCGGCAAGGGCCGCCCAGGACGGAGGCAAGAAGAAAAGACCGGCGGCAGAGTAGAGAAGAAAAATCCCGCCTGTGGATGAGGCTGTTGTGTGTGGGTGGTTTGTTTGTTTGTTTTTTTTTTTTTTTTTTTAGTGTAAAATGGTGATCGGGGTGAGTCCCGACATGAATAAAATGAGTTTGGTGTGCAGTTCTGCCTCTTTGTGCTTTGTGAAAAGTGGGATCAGTAGAGATAAGTGGGTATGAATGCAGTTCGTCTTCTGCCTGTTTGTTTTTTTTTTGTTTTTGTTTTTGTTTTTTTGTTTTTGTTTTTTTGTTTTTTAACAACAATAAGAATAATAATAATAAAAATAATAATAATAATAATAATAATAATAATGGAAAACCGTGGGCTTGAAAACTATATAATAATAATATATTAATGGTTTGATTGTGTAAGAATAATAATAATAATAATATATAGTAATAGTGAAAGCATGTGCCGTGTGGGAGCAGTTGCAGATAAAGAAAAAGAGAAGATAAAATAAAATAAATAAAGGTAAAGTGGGGGTAAAAGGAGATGATTATGTTTGTTTTAATAAAAAAAAAAGAAGAGAAAAAAAAAAAAATCAATCACGGCTCAACTAGAGAGAGAGAGAGAGAGATAGGAAAATAAAAGAAAGAAAAGAGGATGGGTTAGAATATAAAAAAAAAAACATTGACTGAGAGAGATAGTATAAGAGGACGGGACCAGTGATGGCCACGACATGGATGCGGTCGAGCATGGCGTCGGCGAGGCCGCGGTCGAGCATGGCGTCGGCGAGGCTGCGGACGAGGTGGGTGGCGCCGGGGCCGGAGGAAGTGAAGACAGTCGAAGGCGACACTGTTTTCTTTCTCCAACTCTTTTTCAGGCTGGCCAGAACACCGGCCTTGCAGGAGTTGCAGTCGTAGCGTAGCTGCTGTTGGTCGTTGCTCCACGTGGTGCAGTCCATGTCGCTTCCCACGAGTAGACGTACATGAGGAAACTGTTGCGGTAACAGGCCCCGGCGAAGCCCACTAGCGAGACGACCATGATGGAGACGCCGATGATGATGATGGGCCACTGGAGGAACTTCAGGCAGTCCGTGTTGGTAGCTCGGGTGCTGAGCCATATGCCGCCGCCCAGGATGAGGACTGAGAAGAGGAAGGTTAGGAAGTTTAGTAGGCCGATCAAGTGGTTGCTGGGAAGAAGAGTTCGTCGCCAATCAGGAGAGGTTGAAGCCCTAAGAGGAGAAGACCGAGGAGGATCGATCCAAGGTCGACGATCTCCGTGGATAAGGATCGACTTTATCTTGAAGAAGTCCAACAACAGAAAGAACCTTATTATGCATCAAAATGGAACAACCAGGCTGTCAGGTCTATGGTCGAGAAACAGCCGAAAATTTGACGCCGTGGATTACTCGAGGGCGGTGAAAGGCAAGGTTGGGGAGAGTTGGAAGATGCAGGAAAGTGAAGGTATGTGTAGAAAATGCCAGCGGGCAGCGAAAGCAAGGTTGCCCGCCGGCTGCCCGCCGGTGAGAAAACAAAATACAGGCCTAAATCTTACAGCTCTGATACCATGTTAAAATTAATACATATAGAAAGAGAGAGAACAAATTATGTATATATATTGATGTATTATTGATTGATGTTGATTGTATTGTATGTACATTATATAGGAGATGTAAAGTGGAGATGGAGTGGTGGAGTAGGTGAAGTGGAGGTGGTAGTGGTGTAGTGGGTTAGGTTTAGTGGAGTAGGTGAGGTGATAGTGGTGTAGTGGATTAGGTTTAGTGGAGTAGGTTTAACATGCTCTATGCATTGTTTACAGAACTCCAAAACCCTTTCTTCTCATCTTCCCTGCACACAACCGTATGTGTCCATATATATATATATATATATACATATACACACTTGCGGCGGTGAGTACAAATGCATTGTGTCTTTTGAACTTTACATCTAAATTTTTTGACGATTTGATGAAAGAGAAAGATGGATTTAATTTCATAATGGTTAATAGTTATTCGAACGTCAAATATATCATTAATCCTCTAATTTGAGGGAAATTTCATTTTAGTTCTCATAATTTTAATTTTATTAATTTAAACTCCACATTTTAAACTTCGTGCCAATTGCCCTTAATAAAAGCACAACCTATAAAATTGTTTAATTGCTCAAACTTGCCTCTTGGATTCCACTTTGGTTTGTCAATAAAATCATCAGACAATTTTTTCACCAGCAATTCACGAGATTTGACAACCTTATTATCACCAGATTCTTTTTCAATAATTCCCTGGAGATAAAAAAAAAAAAACATAAAAATGTAAGAAGCTCCAACACTATCACCATCAATGGCAGAATATCAACAGATGCAAATCGAAGTACTTTCAGACTCACATTTTCAGTGCAATTGAGGCTGCCATTGATGCATCGACGAGGAGATTTAGACTTTGTTCCGTCTTCTGCAGCCGAATCGGATCTCAATCTTCGCTTCCGAAGAGTGGAGTCGCCATTGGATCTGATGTCGCTGATCTTGATGGATTTGGTATCGTTGAGTTCATTGCTGATGATGCTCGGCATGATTGAGAGATCGAAGAGGTCAAACTCTTACAAATCTGAGAATCTGTGACTCAACTCAGAGAGAACAGAGATGTTAAAATGTGTTGGTTTGGTACCAAAAACAAAAGAAAAAGGGGGCAAATGTCGAGAGAGAGAGAGAGAGAGAGAGTTGTTTTTAGCGGGAAAAATGTAACTTTATCAAGTGTGCTTCCCGCCAATGTGTAGCGTAAATAGATTTGAACTCGTTTAACCCCGTTTGTTTTAAGAAATATAATGGAGGAGATTCATAATGAGGGAATTAGTAGTGAGTGAATTGTTTTACAAATTTTATTTGTTTTGATGATAGTTGTTAGTGTAGAAATTATTAAATTATTTTTATATAAAATAATAAAACAAATAAAAAAATATAAAAAATTAAACATTAATGTTTAAAAAAATTCCAATATGTAAAAAATAAAATAAAAATTTAATCCCCTCACTATTTTTCTAATACTACCTCCATCTCCCCCATCTCAATCCCCCTTCCAACCTCAATCTTAATCCCTTTCCCAACTACAAACAAACACAACACTAAATAACCACACATCCATCCTAATGCCCTTTCATCCATTACACCCAAAAACAAACGGGGCCTTAGGGTTCAATTGGGCCGTTGATTGATTTTTTGATTTTTTTTATTTTTTTTTTGTGACTATTTTAGGCCAAGTTTGGCATCCTCAAAAAAATTCAAAAAGTCAAAAAGTCACTTATTTTAGGCCAAGTTTGGCATCTTCAAAAAAATTCAAAAAGTCACTATTCTATTTAAGTCACATCATCTTATTTAAGTCACACCACCTCTCTATCACATCACTTCAAACCCCAACCCATACCCAATCCATTTTTCATAAAAAGTCAAAAAGTACACTTATTTAGGACATCCCAAACAACCCTTAGTTTAGATTAAAAGGTTTCGTTTGTGATAGATTTTTTAATTTTTGTGAGAAAAAAATGAAATGATTATGATTTAGATATGACATTTTATCTTAGGCCTCGTTTGGCAACCGAACTTTTTAGTCAAAAAGTCAAAAAGTTACTAAATTAGCCAAAAAGCCAACAACCCATACAAAAAAGTCAAAGATTTTATTTTCTCTCTACTTTTTGCACATCTTTTCATAAAAAACCAAAAAGTCATCTCAAACATACTAGTTTTTTTTAGTTCATATTTTAGCCAAATAGCCAAAAAAGTTACTAAATTAGCCTGTTCCCAAACGAGACCTTATTGACTTTTTAACTTATTTTGTCTTTTATAATTAAAATAGCCTTTTACCCCCAAAATTTTGTATGCCAAACGAGTGTTTAGTCAGGTTCGGTTAGAGCTTCTACGCTTACATTTTTCTTTCATCAAATTTAAATTTTTTGATTAAAAAAAAAATAATTTTGGTGCTCCAATCATAATGTCAAACCAATATCAAATTAATGATGTCTTAAAATTTTTATCAAATTAAGGATGCTTGGAGTGTTCCATCAAATTTGTAGGTGATTGTTGGGTCCGATGTCGTCCTGGACATAACCTCTTCCTTGCAAAATTATTCTGTAGGCTGTGGTCAATTTACACCAAACCAGTCGATCGGCCAGACATCCTCACGGTCGATTAGTGTTTTGATAAAAATTCAAAATTTTTTGTTAAAATGAGTGATATCAAATGAAATTTTTATTTAAATTTTTATTCAAATTTGACGAAAAAAAAAATTTAAACGCCGGAGATGCTCTTACGGCGTTTAGTCAAAATAAAAAAAAAAAAATTCACTATAAAAATTAACTCTATAAATGTATTTTGTAAAATGTTGAAAATTTATTCGAAAAAAAAAAAAATCAATTTCCAAACAAACCTAGATCTTTATTGAGTTTATTGAATTATTTACGGTTGATTACGCTTTCTACTTCAAGTATTGTCAAATTATCTAATTAAGGCTCGATTGGAAATTAATTTTTTAGTTATTTTTAACTTTTAATGGAATAATGTGTAAAACAAAAAAAAAAGAATAGAAATAATGATTTGATAATTTGTAGTATTTTTTTGACGTTTTGACTAAAAATCCTTATTCCCAAACAAATGCCATAATTCATTAACGATTCATTGAATCTACTAAATTCTTATAATATATTAATCAAAATTAATTTAGTTTTTGAATTATTGATTAAATCTATTAAATTTTGGAAGTATATAATTTCAATCAGGTTAGTCTTGAAAGAATTAAAAAAATATAATATAAGCTCATTATAAATTAATAAAAGATAGTTAAAAAAAACTATTTAAAAAAAAATCTTAAATTTCTATTGTATTTTTTTTTTTTAAAAAAAGGTGGTACTTCTTCCGGTGAAGTTCTTTTATAAGAGCAAGAGTGTAAAATGTTTTTACTTATATTATGTAATAGTTACTGGCTTGTATTTATCTACTGTTGTATGCCAATTTCGTTATATATTAATTTTCAATTAACTGTATTTATGTTTTTCATTAAGTTTTTACAATAATCTAATTAATGTATTTTTTGTTTTATTATTATTTGTAGCAAATGCTATTATTTAAATTATTTGATTATATTTGTTTAGTATATTTAATACTCATAATTTTATTACAAGACTAGGAAATTAGATTTTAATACTAATTTAAAAACACAGCAAAATAAGACAATAGAAAGTTATTGTGAAAAAAATAAATATATCACAATTCAGTTTGGAGCCACAACCAAAGCTTTCGAATCGAGAATCAAATTGATTTGAATAATTCCATCATTTTCAAAACTAGAACTAGAATCAAAATCAATAAAAACTATACTAAATCGATAGTTTGGACTAGACTGGATCAGTTTACCTGTTTCACCAATTTTTTTAACACCCCTATTAGTACTAATATGAGAATTATTTTGAGGTGGACATTAGAATTCAAATTGAGGGAGTGTTTGGGACACAAGTTTTTGGCTAAAATAGTCAATAAAGACAAAAAAGTTAAAATAACTAATAAAATAAAATGTTATATTCAAATCATGATTATTTCATTTTTTTTTTCTTCTTACAATCATCAAATAAATTACAAAAAAAAAAACTAAAAAACTAAAAATTATCTCAAACTCAATTTTTTTCGACAAATTAAAATAGTCAAAAATATCAAATAAAATAGTCAAATTTTCAAACAAATCCTAAATCAACGATGAAAGAGAGCGTTACCTCCCCAAGTAAAGCATAAAGCAGTCATCCAAGCAATTAATTGCGTGACCATAATAAGTTCTATAATTTTATGGGAGAATTTTAGATTAAGATAAAACTTGAAAAATAATTATAAATTAGTGATAAATGTATCAATATTAATAATTAGGGCAAATTACATCGGTTGTTTAGACATTTTGCTCTTTATGTCATTTTGGTCTCTCCACTTTCAATTGACTTAATTTTGACTATAAATTTTAAATTTTGTATTAATTTGGTCCAATTGATAATGCCGTTAATTTTTTTGATAGAAAACAATTACTGGATTAGTTGAAGTTAACTCACTGAATTTAGTAAATTTATAGTTTTACTGTAAAAAAATATAACACAAGCTATTTATATACATATTTTTCATAAAAAAATATTAAGAATTGTAATTAATTAGACCAAATTAAAATAAAATTATAAATTTAAGGTCAAAAAGTTAATTGAAATTACAGAGATTAATTAGGGTTATTCCCCAGGGAAGTGGAAGAGAAAAAAGGGCCACTCAAGTATAACATTGACCTTCAGCTAGCTCTAAAAAGATGCTACCTAATGATGGATCGGGTCAAAGAGCTGGATAAGGATATTCAATCGGTGGAGACTAAGAAAGGGTTCTAAAATGAAATAAAAATGGAAGTTCGGATCATTGCTACATTTAATGTAGATTGCAGGGGTAGGTTGAAAACCAAAGAATTTTTTAAGACAAAGTCTGTAAATAAAGGTGTTCACTGAAGCAAGAATCTGGACAGAAATCAGGCTTATTACAAATGGGGTAATTAACTCTACCACTGTCAAATTACTAGTAAGGGGTAATTTCTCCTAATTTTATCACCAAATTGACTTGGGCAGCCATCATTTCTAATCAATAGTACCTCCCTTCAAGTTGAATGGCATTTAGTGCCCTAAAGCACCCTTTCTTTGATGCACAATAGTTTGTTAATAAAACGGTCATTACAAAAAATTAAGGTTTTGGGGATTAAAATTTAAGGGTAAAATTATATTTTAAGAATTAAATATTTTTATTGTGAAAAATGTCGCCATTATATTTTTAATAACGAAAATTGGACATTAGTGATAAATTATTATCTATTTGAGACCAAATTTTTTGTTTCAAAAAATAAAGTATTTTGAGACCAAATTATTTTGTCCAAAAAAATCTATTTATTAATGACATTTTCAAAATTTTGTCGCTAAAAGCCTTATTTTTTAGTTTTCATGACGACCTTTTAGTGACTATCTTCATGATGATAGAAATTAGTCCCTAAATGTCTTTTGTAACAAAATTTTTAATTTTAGAAACCAAAACATTTGATCTCCAAAACTCTTATATGTCGTAGTGGGTAACAAAGTAATTTCCTTGAGGGGTGGCCAAACAATGGCAGTGAATAATTATAAATGGTACTATTAAAAAATTATTACAGAATCATGAAAAAAATTAAAATTAAAATTATTAATATTTATAAAATTTATCTCTTATTTGTAATTGTTTTTTGAAACTCAACCTGTACTGAAATTTCTCCACATATATATAACATTTATATATATATATATATGTTGGTAGGGATAGATTCAAAATTATCCTTATGAAGTATAAAAACATGTTTGAGGTGCAAATTCTTATAACAGTGCGATGAGATGAGAAAAAGAGTGATCGGTGCAGAAAGTTTCTACGTTGAATGATCGGCTGCCAGAAACGAGAGAGTGAGAAAGAGAGACAGTGAGATGGTGAGTGAGTGATGGTGAGACTGAGAGAGAGAGAGAGAGTGAGGGAGCCGATTATAGATTAGGGTTTTTTCTTTTGTTATAGGTGAGTGAGATGGTGAGTGAGAGATGGACGGTTAGATTTGGTTGTTGCTTGAAAACAGTTCTTTCTTTTCTTGTTTTTAGTCTCCTTCAAGCCTCTCTTTCATGGAAGGTGGTGGTGGTGGTGGTGGTGGTGGTTTTGGGTATGTGAATT